ATAGGTTATCCATGTAACATTATCAGAGACATCTACGTTTCGAAAAATTCATTTTTAAAAGGAATTTCTTATGACTAGAGCTTTTTATAATATCTGAGCAGCTGTTTAATGTGACCAAGCTTTGATTTTCACTGTATATAGGGTGTTCAAAAAAGCTGGGGACACAATTACGTAGTGATCAAAATTCTGCAAAAATGTTTATCTTATTGGCCTAATTTCCTGAATAAACTAATTTTTGTGCAGTTGATCCAAGACCAACTAAGGTAAAATTATAGAAGAATATAAGTACTTCCATTTTTTTTTTTATACAAATGTAAACAATACTAAAGGCCACACTTTCGGTCGTATACTGTTTTCATGTAATGGTGACATCATTATGATATATATATCAATAGAAATATCTTTTGTCACAGATAGATAAAATCTTTTGGCATGGAACATTAATGGCAGTGTTCTCTTTGTCGGTGAGTATTAATTATATGAAAACTTAGCTTTAAAAATATTATAAGACAGAAATATGAGATTTAATTTTTGTTTCCCTGCTTATAGATGAAAGTAGTGTTTGAATATTATTACATGTTGTAAATGAAATAAAGAAATATACGCAATAAAACAATATTGTTTAGTTAGTCACAGTTGTGTAAGTAGGCCTACGTAATAAATTACTTATTGTAGCATACTTAATTGTGACATTGAATAGTGATGGTAATAAAGTAAAAAGAGTAATATAATAGAGTAAAATGTCGTAAGTTTACAGTAATGGCAAAAAAAAAACGGATCTTAGTTGTAACCCTAATTTATAAGTTTCAAGTACATTGAATGCTTTTGAAAATTAATAGTTTATGAACTATTTACAATTACAAGTGTAAACGCGTTTTTACATCACGCAGGTGAATGTTGTGCAACAAGCGGAAGCGAGTTGCATAATTCACCTAAGGGATGTAAACACACTCTTACGTAACGTGTAACGTACAAAATTTTACCCGACCCGACAATATACAGGGGTTCCGTACAATATTTTTCATTATCAATTTCACTCATCTTCTAACAGTAGGGGAGAGTGTTGTACCTTTGACCATCTTGTACATTTGAAATGAAATGAAATGCTTTATTGTCGTTAAAACTAATACAAAGTTCATGACAATCGTCAAAAGAAAAAGAAAAACAAAACAATCAAGATGGCAACTAAAATAACAAAAACTAAAACTCTAAACCAAAGTACTCTTCATGTTTATACAGGCAAGCAAGTTAGAGTAGTTTTAAAAAAATGTTTAAATTTTGAAACACACAGGTTTTTGATGGATGCAGGCAAGAAATTGTACATCTTTACACCTTGGTACTCAAATATATTTTGAGTGGCTGTATACTTATGCCTTAGTGTAGACAGATTATCTTTAGATCTAGTACAATAGTTGTGAACATCAGATATCTTTTTAAAGTGAGAAATGTTTTCCTTTACATACAACAAACTTGCCAAAACATACATGGATGGAAATGTGAGAATGTCAAGACCCACGAAAAGGGGCTTACAATGGGTTCTTCTATTCACACTACAAATTAACCTCACCGCCTTCTTTTGTAAAGTAAAAAGCAACCTGTTAGCATAAAAACTGTTGGCCCACAGTGAGGTACCATAGGATAAATAGCTATGAATGTGGCCATAATACATACAAATAAGTATATCATCTAAACCAGTGGACCTAAGTGCTCTTATCATAAATATGCCTTTTACAATTTTAGATGCTACAAAATCTACACGTGAAAACCACTTCAAGTTTGACTGCAGATGAAACCCCAAAAACTTCAGAGTGTTTACATCATTACCGTTACTGCTAAGACTAATATTCATGTCCTGAGTCTTATCAGCATTAAGACATAACTTGTTTGCATTACACCAGTCATTAATAACAGCAGACTTTGTGTCCAATATGTCTGTAACGTCATTCAAAGAGTTACCCCTTACACACAAGGCCAAGTCATCAGCAAAAAGAAAGCTTTTTACAGATAAGTCATTAATATTACAAGGTAAGTAATTTATATACAGTATAAACAGGGTAGGACCCAATATAGAGCCTTGGGGCACTCCGTGGGACACTCGAACAGGGCTAGAATAAGTGCCATTTAGATAGACCTTTTGCCATCTGTCACTAAGATAAGATTGAAAAAACCTAACCAAAACAGCATCAAGGTTATAGCAAGAAAGCTTATTCACAAGGAGATCATGAGCCACTGTGTCAAAGGCCTTAGACATGTCGTACGATCTAAACACCACCAGTCATATAGTGAAATCTAGAGGCTGTATAGGGAAGCTAATGAGACTAGTTCATAGATCAGCCACCAGAGGACTACTTCACCTTGCATTGGAGATTGTAAATTGTGTTTATTAGAAGATAATTTAGTTTATTCATTTTTGCTACTGAAAAGTAAAGATTTGTTGACTTATTGTTTGTTTTATAAAATGTATATTTTTTCACAAATAAAAGTGAAAGTGAGGGGTTATCATTTGATGTTTATCCTCTAACTTCTCTTGGATGTTTGAAACTGATATTATCACATATCTTTTGAGAATCTATATAAAATGGCGGGAAGCGCTAGTGTTGTACCTTTGACCACTTAATAGTGGTGTTCCTTTGACCAGGTCAAAGGTACAACATCTTCTGTATTCAGTGTAGTTATTACTGGTTTTTATTGAAATATGTTAACGTATTAATTGTTTTGTGGAACCTACAGGAGGTTGTCTCCAAGCTCCCCAACACTGCCAAATCAAGTGGATAAGCACGTCAAAGTGAATTTTTCAATTTTGCAATGGACTTTTTTCCCAAAAAGTAGAAAAAGCCATTTATTTATCTTGATGAAATGAATTATAAGTTTAACTTTGTGTATCTGGTTTTATATTTTAAAAACTATCATGTAAGATATGTATTTGTTTTTTTCTACCTGTTTTGGGCTGAAATCGATATGTTGTTCGAAGGTACAACACCCACTGGTCAAAGGTACAACTGCATCTTGAACCTTTGACCACTATGTAACAAATTTTCTTTATTACTAAAAATAGGTTAAAACTCATGACAAGGAACTAGAAAAAATATTTATTCTATGGATGAAACAGTTAAGTACCATCGTTGATTGTTTTTAAAATAATTGGAGCTTTCCTGTCCCTACAAAATATTGTTAAGTGAAAACTGGTCAAAGGTACAACACTCTCCTAACGTTCTTTTACAAACAAAAGCTAGGTTAGGAAAATTCTTTGCAGCATAACAATAATATTCAATCACACAGCTGATTTCTAGCGCTGAACGTCGTTGGCTCCATATATTTTTTTTAAGTTAAGCACTCAATGTTATTTAAATGGATTTCATTACCTCACTGAGTGAGTTTTTTAAACTTTACTTCACTCGTGAAGTAAAGGAGTTTTATACATCACGCTTGGGATAGGGAAGTTTAACATGGCGGGTTAGGTAAAATAATAATAGAACTCAGAATGCAGGATTTTAGAACATTTCCACCAGTGTTGTTATCATTTAATTAATATCATAAGAAAACAACATTATCGTGTTCGTGTTGAATTAAGTCTCTTTGTTCGCTTTGTAACGCTTTGTACCTTAACACCTGTATCATAGCATGGATAATTAAACAAGTCAATGTGAAAAATAACATTTTGTATTTTGTTTAGTACAACAGACATTTTCTGATCATTTACAGGTCCACGTTTTAATGAAACAATCCATGCAATGGAAATAAAACACAAAACATTATTAGGGCTATTGTATTAGTAGTTACCAGTTAATGTAAATGGCTTTTACTCTCCTCTTTTAGCTCTTCCCAAATTACACTCAATATGTGTTTGTATTATGACTATGACACCTTTAATAATGACATCTTTAAAAAAAAATCTGGAATATCTTAGCAATTTTAACTATGAAAAGTAAGATAGCCACCATTTTGAAATTTACAAGTATACCAAGATGAAATTTGTTTGTAACCAAGTCTCTTCTACCTTAACATATATACCTAGTTTAATTAAAGAAACAGTTGGAATGATCAAAATTAAAACAAGTTTATGAAAAAAAAATTCTTCTTTATTTTATTTTTATTTTGACCTATACTGTATACTACCAACCATTTTCCAGAGTCTGCTTACTTATGCTGTTTATTGTTTACCCCGTATACATATTTATATACTATTGGATTTGTTTTCGCTAATAATATTTAATGTGGGCTATTAGTTTTACATTCTTTGCCTAGTTTGAATGATCACTGTTCTATTTAAAGAGATCAATGTAAGATTTATATATTTTGTCTTATTTCTATCTCCATTCACCCTGTTTCTACACTTGAAGAGCCCCATAGTGTTTTGGTACAGATCCAAAAAGTGAGGCCAAGTTATCGAGGAGTTTAAGATTACCGTTATCGTTTATAATGCATGATTAAACATTGTAATAGGAACATTTTCCAGTTAACCTTTTATTACCTTGCATATAAAAATTAGCTGTATAGTTTATACAGTTATTAGAACATTTTGTTTTACTTGTAGATAATCTCTAATCGTCAAATTTTCCATATTTTGAAATTAGGGTTTAATAATGTGTTAAGCGACTAAAATAAATATGATATGTGACTAAAATTTATATTTGTTTTTTATGTGTTAGTGTATACACTTTCATGTGTAATTCCCAAAATGAAACCAGAAAATAAGTTGTAGTTTAATTCTTGGTTTAAGATTTATTTTAATTGTATTATATACAGTATTTTGAATCCAACCAAACTTTAATTAAGGCTATTCAACCTGAAAAAGGGATGAACATTGTGTTACTTATTTAATCGAAGCATTTAAACTAAAAAATGACAAAATAAAGTTCTATAAAAATTTAAAACTATTAATCCATGAGTAGATCCATAGTTTTTAAGAGTTGAAAACACTTGGCTCAATAAATGTACAAGGCCGTTGACACACAAATGTTTGCTTCAATTGGCAAAATATCTCATTATATCAAATTACGCATACCATTTGCCTTCATCACACGTGTAGTTTGCTAGCTGACTTTCAACATGAGACTGTATACGATCCTAGTTTTTATATCTTTGGTGAGTAGTTCATGTAACATACATAGTCAAAATTAAATACAACATCATGTTTTAGTTCCAAGGCGAATCACATATTTAGCACGACTAGTTTACTTAGCTTATATTTAAGCTATTTTACAACCAATATCAAATAATGCCATTGACGTAAATATCTAATCCAACCACCTTCCCAATATTATAGCATTGATAATATATGTTCCATAGCCACATTCGCTTTGCTAATATTTTAATTCTTGGATATCACCTTCTACTCTCTATTTTTGTGTTGATTTTTGTGTGGATAGAAATGAAGTTGAGAATTAACTTAGCCTTACCAAACTATATAGAGAAATATGTTTATATGTGAAATATGTTTATTTTTTATGTGAAATAACGTTAAATGTTATGTTGATCATATACTTATTATCAGAGGTTTATTAATGAAGAATAATATTGCTTAACGTGTTTCATGCTTACTTTTACATTCGTTTTGTCTTGAGTATTCTTTTACTCCTATTTAGAAATAAAATCAATTTATCTGCATACCAAAATGATGTATTATTAATACTCAAACCCAAATATATTTTAATATAAATATTGTAACGTATAGCTCAAGGCAACCAAATCCTTGGGAGGGGGCACCGGGTGGTTATGGGTGTATGGAATATCGCCCTCCAACCCCCCCCCCCCCAAAGAGAGGGGATCCAAGAGAAAATTAGCAGTTTTGAAACCAAAAAGAGAGGTTTAAGCTTATTTAAAATGCCAAAAAGTTAAGAAAAAATAAGCTTGTACAGCATTTTTAACCCTGGATCGAAAGGGTAGCTAATGCCCCCCCCAAAATGACGACACTGATTCACATTGAATCTAATGGAAAGATGTTTCGTTAAAATAAAATCCATTAGAACCCTGTTGCCGTTTACATCGTAAAGAAGACTTCTCTTAATTTTTCTGGTGGATAGAAAGGGAGTTGAGAAAAAACTTAATCTTACCAAACTATAGAGATTTACTTTAGATTTATTTTAATATTTTCTTACTCAATCCCTACTGGGTATACTACCTAGTATCCAAATACGTAGTTGGTAACATTATTCTCAAGTCATCGAACTCTAACAGTTTTGGTTTGCTGCCTTAGGCGAGTTTATTGCAGCAACAAAGACGTGGTAAGTAACTAAGACTAACATTTTACAATAATTCACAACAACTAAAATTAGTTAACATTTGCAATTTTTAAGATCGTCTCCGCTATATGCGTGACTGGCAGGGATCTTCTCAGCGCACAGTTTCCACATGAAAAACCGAAAACCCCTATCACAAAAACGAATTCAAAACTTGGGGCGATGTTTCCAAGCCATGGTGGGAGACAGTAGATCACTCCTAATCAATCAGGGTGTATTTTATGTACTTCATGTAAAAAAATATACTTGTTGAGACAAATTATTTGCCTACGCTTCTATAAAATCCTATAGTTTGATGTTTTAACAACCATATCACTGCAATACAACTACAATGGTGCGTTTGTAAACTATTAAAACACAATCCACCGATTTCAACCCTGCAATTCGAACATTTAAGGAAAGTGAGGCAATGAGACTTTTGGCTGCATACGGAAAATATGATTCTTCAACATTTTAAAAAGGTGCATTCTTTTAAATGTTGACCTATAAAACCAATATCTGCATAGGATATTGCAGGATATTAATAAGGGGTGTCCCTGAAACAAAGCCTTTGCCAACCTTCATATTGAACAGATTTTTCCAAATAAGGGGACATTTTAAAGCTTATAATCTAGCGCTCCTGCGAATGGGAATTTCTTTAGGGTTTCGCCCCCTCCACGTTTAATTCATTTCTAGAGTATACTTTCAAAGATCTCTTTATGACAACTATGTTTTTTTTTTTATAAAAGCTTAAATGTGAATTGTAATTCGACAGCGGTTCCTACAGTTAGACAGTTAACCACAGTTTGAAAAAAAAACTTAAAATGAAACGAATCCGCTTGTGAACATTTATTTGTAATAGGAAACGTTTTTCAACTGTGACCTGGTAGGGGTAGGCGAATCACGCTTTACTGTGTAGAAATAAATTCAACAAATTAATTTTAATTTCTAGTTTTTTCATCTTCCCAACAAACATAATCTTAAAAAGGTAAATGGGTATTGCACTGCATTCATTTTGGCTCGGAAACAAGTTTTGGACCCTATAAAACGGGTCCCCTTGTAACATCATATTTGTTCAACATTTGGTTTGTTATAAAAATACAAAATGTATTGTTGCTTTACATCTAGTAACTGGACTTGAGGTAAACCTCCTACACCTTGCTTATCTCATCTAAGTTGACAGACTAAGTTTTCACGGCGAGTTTGCAGCATAAGTTTGTCGAAAGTGGTTGAAATCTAGACTCAATTAGAGAATATTGGATGTGACGTAGATCAACTGTTAACATCTCTCTAAAACTTGTCAAACTACACGACAACTCTGCGGTCCTATAGCTAAACACAGTATGATATTTACTCCACATGTTTAAGTTTGCGGTGAAATTATGCTGATGTTTGGATTCTGAACTATGTAAATCATGTTGAAAATATAATACATTATTATGTTTATCAATATTGATAACGTACTGTGATTGTTTTTCCTAATTCCATTTTTATAGATAAATTCACAGTAGAATTTCCAATGGTTTTATAATTCACCCTTTTATTCAATAATAGCTGTTACCAGTCAACTTCGCTCGACATAACAGTCTTATTACTAATACTACTTTACCATGTCCCTGCCAAAGACTTCGCTAAGCACCCTTTGCGTTAGTTTATAACATTATTACATTATAAGAAATTTGTAACAGGCTGTAGGAAAAGAGCACAAAACACAATGTGAAGATAAATAAATAAAATATATTGTTTTGAGTTTTTACATAAGCAAAAATGTCAACAAAACATCTGATCAGCTGTTATGATCTCATCATAGTGAAAATCTTTTTACAACAGTTTACACATAAACAGTCTGGTTAATGCAATACATAGTCATACTAGGTCGTCTTTGCTCGATATACTTTTGAGTTTTAGTATGAACCAGCTAAGTTGTGACTTCACTACGGGCTAACATGACCTTTTACATTATTTTTCCGTATAGTAACAGCTATTAAGTCTTAAATGTAAAAAAATAATAGAAAAGTTATTTTTGACAGGAGAAAACATTTAAACTTGACAACTGATTAGTTGTTATGATTTTATTCTCTCTTAGTCAAAATTTGATAGCAATTGGGAGAGTTGCATGTTTGCTTTAATTTTTACCCTGTATTAATTTGTTTACGAAAACTCCTTTATTTTACTTTAGGCTGGATAGTAGTAACAGCTAGAACAAAAGATAATGGTTTAGAACAGGAAATGTTTTATGTTTTTATTAAGTTACGGGTTTTATTTGGTCTAGCTGCTGTCAACGATATAAACAACTCATGGATCGCTGGCTTAGTGTTGGCCGCGCGGTCGAGCTTCCCCCACCATCTACTGGCAGAAGCCGACGCAGCCCATACACTCGCAATTATAAAACGCGCATTTTTAATTGCTGCTGTGTTGAAATATATAGGGATAAAGTATTGCTAACGCTTGTCAAACTCTTTTAAATATCTAAACCTTTATGTCTGTTTTGTTTCTTGCAGAAAATAGCCCATATGAATTCTTTAAAAGCTACAAATTCACTAAACCCGATTTTTAGCAGTTTTTAGACAACTGATATTGCTAATTCCATATCGTACATGGTAAAATAATAAGTGATTACAAAGAAGAAATAGAAAGTGCAATATTCATAATTGAAACCATATTTTATGAAACAAAAAATTGTACATAAACAATTAGTATAATTTTGCTAAGTTTTAGCCTCAGACGTAACGTTATGATTGACGTAAACAAGATATTTTTTTCTTTCAATGTGTAACGACAATGTATCTTACAAAATGGGTCACAAAAGAGAAAGAAAAAAGTAGGCCTATTACGTTAATGTCAAGCATAGATCTGCGGTAAAAACTGGACAGATGTAGTTGGGTTTTTAAGAGTTCAAATATGTTATTTTCTGCAAGAAAAGAAGAAGACATTAAGTTTAGAATAGTAAAAAGGGTTCGGCATACATTAGCAATATTTTATATCTATATATTTCAACAGAGCAGCAACTTAAAAAAGTGCGTTTTACAATGGTGAGTGTATGGGCTGCGTCGGCTACTGCCAGTAGATGGTGGGGGGAGCGAGACCGCAAACACCGCCCGCAGTGCTACTGAGAGCGCAATCCAGTAGTTCTTTACATCGTTGGCTGCTGTACCCGTGCTTTGCAACGGGGAGACAAAGAATTAAAGTGCTGCACTCTGTTGTTAAGCCCTGTAACCTTGTAAATCTTAAATGCTATTGAATATCATAGAACTAGACTGTCAGCCATGCTGCGGTTACCATGGTTACCATAGGTTCCGGCGCACACCGCTGTAGTTTACGTAGCGCGTACGCCGTAAATACATGGCGCTCCAAGCGATGTGCGCCAGAAGATATGGTAACCGCAGCACAGCTGACGGTCTATATTTAATTCTTTTTGTCTATGATAGAACCCAACTTATTGGTTTATTATTTGAAACAGCTGTCAAAATGCATATAAAAAACATGAATTCACATAAGGTAAACATGGGAAATTCTAGAGCCACTGGGGTGGAGCTCCAAGGGAGTTCTAGTACGTTAATGGAAAAGAAACCTTTCCGAGAGTTTATGGAAAAACTTCCCAAAGTTTCATCACGATCGGATGGCCAGTTTGGTAACAAACAAAGGACAAACAAAATACAAACGACGAACGAAAAACGACAAACATACATTTATACATTTATGTTGGAAGTTTTTAATTACTGAACTTTTATTGTTAGTAATTAATTTAACTGTATTGAAAATTGCAATTAATTGTAAATAATTATGCATATATGTTGAATTAATCCGTTCTATTATATTGGAGCGCGAAGTGACATGAATGTCTTCTTGTACTGTCTTTAGTAATATAACTAAACAAATCACCTTTTAAATTATGTTAGATTACCACTAGGGCAGCGACATATGTTAGTGCTTGCAAATCCTCGGGTTGTTATAACAATTTAACTTACCATTTTATAAAAGTTCACACTAGCTAAACGTTAAGTTGACTCACTCAGTCCCAGCTATTTTGAATTGCAAATAGCTTTTAACACATCCTGACCTTGATCTCTTCTGAAGACGATTCAATATTGTAGTAACTTTGTGCTGTTCAACTGTTTGTAGAGAAAATGTTTGTCTTTTAGCTTCTAATGCAATTTATTATAGTTTTTCCACACAAAAAATATGTGTGACGGCTTTGAAGTGACATAGCTACAGTTGTCATATTTTTTATGAACATTTTAAATATACAGAGGGTCCAGTCATTTGTGTTTACAAATCATTTGTCCAACCTTATGATAATAGAGGAACCACCCTCATGGAGTCTATGAAAGAATGAGAACACTTTTACTTAACTATCTTGGAACACATTTTTAAAACGTACATAGCTCGATATAAAAAAAAAATCATCAAATTTTAATTAATTTGAATCTAACCTGGCACGCAACAAATTCTTGCTACCCTTTTACTTAAAAGCATATTAACAGTATAACAATAACCAAAACACATTATTATGTAAAATCTAGGGCAAGCCAGAGAGTTCCTTTTTTATCTGGCAATTTCAATCAAACAATTTTTCATAAACCGGAAATCCTTATTAAAGTATTACAATGACTTTAGTGATTAATGACAATGAGGGATTAGTGGCTACTCGTTCATTCTAAATTACAAACATTTTTTAATTAATAGGAATGAGAGTGAGATTACTTTATATGAGCAAACGGTGTTGGTGAAAATATATGCTAGAAATGGATAAACGATAAGTAAATCTTGTGTGGGAATACGTTATTATTCAAAATATGCGATTATTCTCCCATTTACTGGAGATAGAGAGGGTTCAGTAATTTAATAATGTCTTTAATAAATAGTAACTCAAACATGTTAAATATCATGTACCTTATTGCAAAAATTATTTGTTTAGTGTATCTGTTTTTCATTTAAACTACCAAGCTAAAACTCTAAAATTAATAGGCCTATTACGAAAATAGGTACAACTGTTACTAAAAGCCATTAGCAGCACCACATAACATATGTTAGATTATTTGAAAACTAGGTTTAGGCTAAATTCAATTTAACTAGGAGAAGGTAAATTATAGTAACAATAAAAGGTGGTCTTTGACCAGCGTTAGAAATATATATATTATAAATGCTACACACCTAAATGAGAAAGATATATGAAATAAAAAAAAACTATAACCCTTAATATTCAAATTAATATTCATTTAATTTGAAATAAATATTCAATTAATGACAATATCCACACATTGTTTGTATTAAACATACATGAAAATCTATTGTTTCAACCCTAATAATATAACAAAATAGTATTTCTAAGTAATTACTTATTCCATAAATCATTTTTGTTATAATAGACTATACTTAATTGTATGATCTTTTTCTTTGTTGTGGTTAAAAATGCTCTTATCCTTTCCATTTTAAGCCATACGCAAGATATCTTTAGATTTTAAAAACTTAGATTTTTTTAGTGTTGAACGATATTTGCCACATAAATATAATTTGACCCATACAATGATGTAATTCATACAATTAAAATAAATAAAATTATATTTTAAAATTTATTTAACTAAGTAAGACGCACAATTAAAACCTTACTGCTGGAATTAATTTAAATACGCCTTTTTAAGGAATGCAAATGTATATATTGAGTTTAAAAACTATAAATAATATATAATTTACTAAAACGTCGATACCTTATTAGCTTATACCTCATAAAACACTGTATTAACTCATGAACAACAGTACTTTGTTTTCGAAACAAATAACGATCCATTATTGTAAAAATAAGGTAAGAGCTTTAGAAAACACACTGTTTGGAAATAGTTTTATATCGCTTTCTCACTCTCTTTTTATTTCTCTTACGGGAAGAGCTCTCTAAGAGGTGCTAAAGTGCCTGAAATTATTTATGCAGAGTTGAAAATGGCAACACGCTTAAAAGCATTTTCTGGTTGTTTGGTTAATTTTGATATGAGTGATATTTGAATAAAATATATTATCTAGGGTTTCTCAAATACTGTGGTTATTTGCACAGATTGGGTTGATAATAATATCCAAGCACAATATACTCTTTTAACAGTATTTTATGTTAAATAAATATTTCCATATGTAAAGCATGTGTTTCTTCTAAATACATTTTAGTAACCAAAAGTAAAATATATTTATCGAGAATGAAATTTTTTATGTTTATTTTTTATCCTTGATACAGTCTATTCAGACATTCTTGTCAACGATTGTCGCAGGAAGTATTAGAGTATTTTTTTTTGTTGGGCTTATTTATGATTCAACACATACAATAGTCAAATTATTTAGCAGAATTAGCACTATTCTTCGAATAATTTAATGAACATAAATGGATTTCACACTATATGTTTAAACTCAGTTAACTCTGACCTTATTTAATTTCTAACATTAACAAGTCGGTTGGAAACATTGTGTTAGGCAACATCGATTCAAAAATAAATTAAGTGAATAAAAAATACCTAATTTATATCATTGCATACATTCCTTTTGACTGTACTAGCCTACTGTAAAATGTGTTGCACTTAAGCAATGTCAAAAGACGTTAGCTTAAAAGAAAAGGTAACATGTTTAAACTTTCTTAACATTATAGCTATTTAAATCCAATATTTTCTGTAAGCTAGTTAATTAAACATGCGTTTTACTCTCCGAATGCAGAATTAAACCATCCAACCACGTTTTGTTTAATGGAGTTAGTTACTAATTCATATGTAATGCCTTTGAGGTTTACATATTCATTTGTTTTCATATGGTGAAACGTTTAGTTTGGCAAACCAGATTTAGTGTTTAAACTGTTGTACCCAATGTTATTCAAATCTTCAATTAAAACGATTATCTTCAAACTCTTTATCTTTTGTATGTGTAATAATGTTAAATGTAATGTCGATCATATACTAATTAACATAAGCTTATTAATGAAGAATGGTTTGCTAAACAAGCCGTTTCATGCTTACTATTAAATTTATGTTTTCCTTTATTGCTTCTGGTGACTCATATTAAGCCCAAAATATTCAATATAATTCTATATCAAAATTATATATAATTCAAGCCTAAATTAAAAGATAAATATTTTAGTATAAACAAGAGCTCGCCCCATGGTTGAAAACTCGACCAAAAGTATGTATTGTGCAAATTTCTCAGTTTTCACCCCACGCTGTATATAAAATATGTTATTGGAATTTCTTCCCTTCGTTTTGATTTTCTGTTAATATTTTGTTGTTATTTTCGTAAACATGACAACCCATAAGGCTATTTTTTTTAAATGAATTATTTGTGTTTATTTTTTAGCCTATTTTAACTTATAAAGGGATTCTGCACATATACAGGAAAATTTCTTTCATTTGGTACTAATCGCGTGGAATTCGGTCCAGTAGTATGACAAGGCTGGCTGTCATAAGTTTTTCAAAAGTTTTTTAATATATAAGATATTAATACTTAATAAGTCAAGGTATTTATCGAGTTTATGTAAAGTTTATTTATTATTTATTATATTTTTTATGTAGTTTCTGCATTTGGAGCCCGACCCGTAATTTTCTTATATGGCTGTTACTTTAAATTCAAATGTTGCATAATTGATCACAAGCTGCCGTTATAAATTAATAAACTTCCACCAGTACCTTTTTTATTTTTACATCATGGTCAATGATCGAAGATTTAACACTTCTTAAGCATTTTTCATCGTTAACGATATGTAAATACTAATATATCAATGCCAAAGCGGACAGTTTAAAATTTCAATATCGTTTTAATAAACCTTTGGTCCCAGTTGCTAGTAAATCCTAGGTATCGAACACAAGTCATGTTGAATCATATATCCATTACAATAGTTCTGCGTTTGCCCATATTAAGCTTGTTTGATTATATCTAATAATGTGCCGAGTGACTATTTAAATTGCTAATATTATGACTTTATAACAACTTTTATCAGTTGCATTTTTTGGTAGTTAAATTAACCTATAAATAAACCATAGGGTATTTATAATTTACATTGTGTATAATGCATAAGAGACGTACGCTTCAAAACCACCTATAATGAGCAAAGGCTATTGCATGCATAAAATTAATTTTCTGTATACAAAGTATTTGTGCATATGTCCAATGCAATTTAAGAACACAAAATAGTTTTTTGTAGGTAATAGAACATAAACTTGATGAATTTATTTATTGTTAATTCGATGTCCTGCAATGCGTATTATATTATAGGAAATAAAAAGGGTGTAGCTAATATGATTCCTTACGGGTGAAAATCCAAAATAAAAAAAAAATAAATAAATAAAAACTTTGCTAAAATATTATGCTAAAGTATCTTTGTATAAGACACCACGTTGATAAATAAAGTAATCTTTTATGTAAGCGAATTGACAAGAAGGTGAGTTTTGTACCATTAAGACAATTCACTTCATTTACTCAATTATATTTAAAGATAATTCATCACTAAGGAACAAATAATTATCTCATTTTAAGACTAATGCTTTGCCACATAAAGCTGTTACTGACTCGCAAACAAATAGTTTGTCAGTTGCTGCACAGACTGAAGAACTTTCCACTCTATTGCTTTATTAGTTGGCAAGTTGACTTATTCAATTAACTTACTTCTTAGTTAATGGGCGGAAAGTCCTTACACAAAGTTTACCGAGAAGTTTAAACGTTCATCAGCTGACAATGGAATAGGAATAAGGGCAAAATTATGTTTTAAAAGACTGTAGGTATAATAATAAATAGGATTTGAGTATCAAATAGTTTACATTTTCATTTAAATACGATTCCGAAGTTTATAACTAATTTTTGATGACATTTGGTGGCATAATTTAATTAATTAATAGGTTTAGGGAACTTGCTGTTTCAGAATCGTATTTCAACTAAGGAACGAGCTATTTTTGTAAAAAAAGGATGCAATTACTTGTTTTAATACACAAAATTACAATGCAGGTAAAATAAAACAAAATGCAACCTTCTATGAGGACTGCACTGTTCCTATGTACTTTTGTCATGTTTGAATCAAGTTCAGACCACACAAAAAAGCATAACGTGATTAGGTTAAAATTGTATGCACCACATTACACATTTTTACTGTCAGTCCATGTCGTGTGCTTTGCCTTATAAGTTGAAATTATAATTATTTATTGTTGCTTGTTTAGTAACTAAGTTTAGAATATACTCTCGAAAAATTCGGCTTTACTCTTGTAAATCCACCCATATCTTTGACACTAGGTTCTTGTTTGAAAATGTAAGGTTGCCGATTCTTGAATTTGTTATTGATTTATACTGTATACTCCTTTATCTTATTGAGTTGAAGCCAATATTATTTTCTGTGTCATCTACTAAGTATTTTACAGCTATGCTTTGCTACATGATGCCAGTTACATGTAATAATAAAAGATTATGATTCACAAATTTTCGAAATGTTCTTTATCAAAACATATGAAAATAGAATAGCCTACTTTGACTAATGGCATAATGTCCGTTGCTCAGGTTACTTGAAAAACTAAGTACCCCTATCAATTAGCATTGTAAACAATCATATAAATTGTAATTTAAAATGATTGCCTGATTTTTAGGTTGTTTTCCAAAAATAGTACATGCTTGAAATTTGTTACGACATGTTAACGCGTATAAGTTGGACTGTTGTCAAATATAGTGGACAAGTTTCACACACCACTTTCACACTTATTCAAAGTAGCTTCACATGTATGCGGAGACATTTTACATAAACATAACTTTAACTTTTCCTCCTCTTTTTGCTTTTGCTCCACCTCTCTTGCCGATCGCTTTGAGAGCTGCTCTGGCAAGCTTCTGCATGGCCATCTGTTGTTTGATCTCCTGGCCACTCATTATCCTCGTCTCCCTGGGGTGTCTGGAGGGTGGATACTCTCCTGGGTTTTGATGGCCTGGAAGATCATCTGCAGGTGGTTTGCGACCAGGTGGAGGCTCATCCGCTCTTCTGTATATTGAGTCCCCTTGTGCATTCATTAGCCTCTCAAGTTGTTCTCTGTCTGTGTGATTGAAATAAATAAGTAAAGTGATATATTAAGATGTAAAACGTAGACATTTAGAATATTATAATTATAAGTCGTACACTAAACAGTTTTTGAATGTTTTTCATTTATCAAGTTGAAACACCACTGTTACATACTAGCCTAGTTTGTTTTGTTAACACTATTAGGGCTGTCAACATGTTTGAACATGAAAGTTGCATTTATTTCAATGTTAAGCAATGGCGGGAATTCCCGTCATCAGCACCCAACGTGTTAAACAATCAATTATTTTGCTGAAAAAGTTTAAAAAAATCCAATGGGAAAAGTAATAGAAACTTAGATAATCACACCCTAGGTCAATTGAAAAATATATGTAGTTTTTGTTACGCACTCTTCTTTAATTGCGAAAAAGGAAAAAGGATTGTCTACTTCTTGCTGTCCTAACGGCAAGGTTACGTTGCCAGTTCCACAAATAATAATTAATTCATACAAAGTTTATTGACTGGAATTCACCCACAATCAAGACATTTCAAGTCGAAAATAACAATCACAATAACCCATGGTCAGAGTCAGTGGCAATATTAAACCAAACATAAGAGGTCTATACTTGTGTATGTAGTCAGCAGGTAAGTTAATCGTAGAATCAGAATCACACATATTGTTGAAGATCGAAATACAGTCACTAAGATCAATGCAAGCTGTTTAATAATAGAAAATTAAAATAGTGGTCAAAATCAAGTGCAAGAATTATCCACCGTATTTAAACAAATAATTCCATACTCTCTCGCTGTAAAATTTTGAAAATAGCTATAAAGAAACTTCACTCGGAATATATAAGAATGTGGATGTATATGGACAAGAAAAGAAACAATTAGTGCACCGCATACTCCCTTTAAAGGAAGATCCAATACATCTTTTACCTGTATTCAATTAATTTAATAGCAGTAATTTTCCTTTAAAATCCGTCGAATGCATATTACTTTAAGCCAAGCTAAGTCAATCAACAGTATTTACAACCTTTTATAGATTTATAGATTTTTTAAGACTTTACTACATTCTATTTTGTTTAAATGAAACTTTAATTAATGTAATATCACTTTATTTATTTTAAACTATTTCAACATTTGCTTTTGCACACCAATAATTAATTATCTTAACTACTATTGTTTCAACTATATTGTTAATATTTTACAAATTTGAATATAGCTCATATTACATTATGTTTGTAGATATTTAAAGTTTCTTTTTGTTTTTATATATTTGGCTCAGCAGGTTTGGTTTGGTGTTTGGACTTAATGGATTATATGTTCGTTATAACTAAATATATATAGGTACTACTTATATAAAATCCAATTTAAGTAGATGTTAGTACAAAAAATATCAAGTTAAATATTTAATACATGTTGAATACGTAACGTACGATTTTTGTTACTGAGATGAGCTGTTACTTTCAACTAGTAAAAACTAAAAGCTAAAAAAATATGAATTCAGCCGGGTCAATTTTCAATCCGATAAAAAGCCATTTTTAATATCAAACTGGCACTTTGATTACTGGAAACAAATCACTACGATAGGCCTAAATACTAAATGTTAGAACTGGGACTACTTCTCACCTCTCATAAACTTCTCCTTCAGTTTCTTCTTTGGACGGACTTCCTCCTGCACTACATTGGAGCCGGTTTCAGCTTGAACGGTTTCTGATGCAACCGGATTGTTAAACTCTTCTCCATCACCTGTCTGGATCTCGTGGTTATCAAAACCAGCCTCGGCCATGGATTTTGCTATTCCATCTCTTTCTCGAAGTATCTTTGCATCTTGCATAATTTGTTCGTCACCAGGTTCATTCATAGAGGTTGAATATGGGAATGAACTAGGGTCTAATTCTTTTTGATCTATTTCATCGTCGTCATCCTCATTCTCTAATCTAACCTCCCCATCCTCACCCTCTCCGTAATCCGTTTCATCTTCATAATGATTCTCTCCATGGTCATCTTCATCATCTTCTCCATCATCGGCACCATCATCTTCATCCTGATCATTAGAATATTTCTTAGTCACAATTATAAGTATTCTGCTACTGGTACATGTTTAACATGAGGCATTATACATGACAGTTCATGAGCTAAGATATTATTTCACAAATTAATGTTATAGATTTTGAAATTACAACCATGAATATAAATGCAAACAAAAGAACTATGTTAATATTCTGTATTTTACTATGGTTATAAAACTAGTTTAGCTTTGTTTAGGTTTAACTAAGTCGTTAAATAAGTTTTCTCATAATCTACTAACCTTAACCTTTAACTCGAGCTTAGGCCGGAAATAGCCAATTTATGCCCTAGTGACGAAATGCGCCCTTTATTAACCACATTTTCACTTCCATGAAATGTATGCATTAAATAATATTTAAACATTTTTCTTTCCTGTTATGTACATACGTTCTGAGTCCGCGTTGCCTGTGGGTCTGGTCCTCCAGTCAAACCTGAATAAGGTTCTCCCATTCCTGAAAACGTATCTTCCTCTCCTCCGCCCCACTGGTCTCCTCCGAATGGAGCCCCCCCTCCAAATGGAGAGGGATCCTCTCCATACATCCCCCCTCCTCCAAAAGGTCCACCAAAGGTGTCTCTACCCGTTGAATAAGGGTCCTGGGTAAAGTTCATTTGAGAGCCAAACCCTTGCATATTTGACATTTGATTCGTTCCGTCTGTCGTTTGAGGTGCAATTTTTGCTCGTTGGCTCTTTACTATAGAAGACAGTATTTTATTATTTCCACTTTACATAACTGTTCATTTAACACTACAACTAATATATAAATGGTACCTGTATATATATATATCCATGCTATAAATATACCTATATCCATGCTACATATATACCTATATCCATGCTATATATATACCTATATCCACGATCTTGGAATATTTTAACCGATAATAGTGAAGCGAGCTAGTATAGTGGTAGAGGTTCAGGTCCCACCGATCACCAATGAATTTCCAAGTGATAACTGATTATCAACCTTTTGAAAGTGCTTGTGTTTTATACGATTCTAGCTGTGGGAGGACGCGATTGGACGGGATTGGTTCTATACATATTTTGTAATAAATACTTAGTCGTCCGCTTAAGGTTTTAAAACCAAAATCCAAACGTATTACTTCATTAGATTTTATGTTTTTTTTCATTTTGTTTATTTATTTTAATTTAGGTATGTTAAGTGGTGTAAATTTATTAGGCTACTTAGTACGTAGTATAAAGAGTTCAGCGCGATGCATTTATGAACATACTTTAACTACCTTCACGGTTTTATTTTAATCGATGAACTAAAACCTTCACGTAAAGGGTAAACCTTTCGATAATAAACATGCAAAAGAGTAAAAAAGAATCGTTCAATTTTGAGTACCGTTGTGAAAAAGAGCAGATTAGTTGTTATTTACTCGTATGTAACATAAAGTATTATAAAAAAGTTGTCTTGTTTCCATAATCAATGACATATATTTAGAATAAAATCCATGAAAATTTTTTACAATAAATAAACATACCACATAGTTGTGTAAAATGTTGTTATTTCATTTGTTTGGATCAGCTGTCTGAAATTGTGAAATAAGCATTTGGCAGTTGGTTGTTTTTATTAAAATGTTAACGCAAACATTGTGAGTTTTCTCATCCTACTATGGAGACTAATCAATATTGACTTTTGAAAACCTTACGTCTAGATATTGACGGGCCTTGGTCCAAGGGAGACTCAGGAATGTGAATAAGCCCAAGACACTTCTAGATAAGTCGACACTTCTAGATAAGTCGACCATCTTTGTGCTTAATTTTGGCTATATCGGTTTAGTGGTTTAGTCGTAACAGGCGCACAGACAAATGGACAAACACAACCTTATTTTTATAATAACTAGTATAAGATACGCGTGAATAAATATTATAAACAAATAATCTACCTTGATTAGGTTTACCTTTATCAATTCCAATACAATTGATTTCTTATCTTTTATTTGTTCCTTTTTATTTTATTCCAATGTAAAATCTAATAATTTTGCACTACGTTTAAGGACCATGCAATAGGTATAACTTGAACCATTTTTAAGATTTTTCCGAAATAAACACACACTCTCTTAAAAAAAGGCTCCATTATATAACAGAGTTTTGAAAGACAATCAAAGAAGCAGTTGTGGTGGGAAAGTAACATTTGCTGTTGACGTTGATTACTGACTCATTTTGTTTCAACTGTGTCATTTGCTGCCTTGAGCTGAGAGTAGATTACTAACATTTAGACATTTCTAGTTTCTCAGTTTTAAGATATTAATTATAACACATAATGAAAATTAACCGATATTATTACTTAAAATCCGACTATTTTCTTTGTACCTATGCTTTGGTTGAATTGCTATATTAGGATAATTTACTAGGCTATATACACTACAAACACATAGTTCGTAGTAGAATATGTTGCAGGGTTTTTGTAATTTATGACACTTTGAGTCGGTTTGGATAAACTAATATGATAAATAACACAAATCACAACTGTAAGGGTTTTTAGCACGTTTCTTTATTAAGAAAACCAAACAAAACTAAATCTTATCCACCATATTTTTAAATTTATACGATTAGTTTTCCTTTTAAATAGTTTTACAAAACTATGTAACATTTAGTTTTGTGTAATATTCCAATGCACTGTAAGGTTTATCATAGAATAACGAAAACATATTTATGTGTTATGTTATTTGTCACAAAATATGGCGGAAACTATCATAAAATGATACGGTTTTAAACCCCTCTCTACTTCTTTAACAATTTATTTTTTATTTCACATTCGAAACAAATGCAATATTTCGTGATTATTCTGCAAGTTATGATTTGCAAGTGGATGCCATTTTTTTAGTTTAATGATCATTGCCCATTTGGCATTATATCTAGCAAATTATAAATACCACCGCCACAATAAACCTGCTGATTAATTGATTTTCAATCGGCCTAATTGAATTTCCATTTTTATATAGCAATAGTTAAATATCGAGTACCTAGGTTTGCTGCTACAATGAGGGCGGTAAACAGTGTTTTTTGTTAAATATAATAGTATAGCTTACTATAAAATGAATTAATTTGACAAGTTAGATGAAAATGTATCCATAAACAAGGAACATACAACAGGACGACACGACAGGGTGTTATTCTCTAAAAGAATAACATAGAAATTTTGAGTTTATAATTTTCTTTACTTCAGAACCAATAACCTTGCAATGCACTTTAATATACAAAATTATCTCTTTTTAAGCTTTACAAAATAGTTTGGAAAAAATTGTGAAAATTTATGTTTTTAGAGTAAAAAATAAGAAAACCAAATTTTTACCAAAAAAAAAAACCATCACAATCCGATATGCTGGTTCATGAACTTGTTCTAATAATAATAACTAGGCTTACGCTTTTATGCCCAATTTCTTAAAATCGGATAATTTTACCCGAGTTGTCGTGCTAACATGATTCATATACAGGGTGTCTCACCTACAGTGAACCAATAGGTAACTTTTTATAGTGATATGTAGAGCTATCTTCTAATGGATCATTCGCCTTTATTGTATAAGATGTTTTTTTGGGATTCCTTCGAACTTTATAATATGTTCGCCATTTTCCAGTATGGCCAACAACCTTATTATGCTATAAGAAACACCCTATATCACTCACCCCATATGATTGTTTTATAATGTAAATGTAATTTAAAAACGTATTCATTACATTCTTTCCCTTAAACACTTAAGAAAAAAGAATTTTGGGGTACCCTTTGCATACTGTAGCTCCTAAAAGAGTAAGTTTAGAAGTAATATTTATGGAATAAAAACGTCTTAAAATTGTATCTACTGTACAATAAACAAATCATAAACAATGTTAAAACTCTGTTGTTCAAAAATGGCCACCATTTTAACAAAATGGCAGCCAACATTAATATTGGGACACTCTGTATGTTATAGTATTTTTTAAATGTAGATGCAAGTTTAATTTTTTCTTTCAACTTACTCGTTTAGGTGCTACATGATGCAGAATGTACACCACAAACCTTTTTCTTAGGTGTAATACGCTGTAACTCCTAAACGAGTATCTTTAGATAAACTATTTCAAGAATGACACCGTTTTTAAATTTTATTTAAATTCCAAAGCAATCATCATGGGGGTTCGATATGATATAACAACAAAAACATATTGGAAAAAGTACAATTTTTTACAATTTAATCCATCCGAAAAAGCATAATATAAAATAAATAGGAATGCTCCATAGCTATAATTCTATGTCATAGCTCAGAGTAATAAAACATCTCTGAGGTCATAGTAAAAAAGTTAGCTATTGGTTCACTTTAGGTGAGTCAATCTGAATTTGAACACATGGTGTTTTCGTGCCCAAGGGACATTAAAATTAAAAATAAAATCGGACCCGGTCTATCATGAAACCTATGGTTATAACTCATCCCCTCTGTGGAAAAAACACAAAAAGGTAAATGGATAAAATGATAATGTTTGTAAATGACAAATTAATTTAGACTTACTTTTTCTCCGGTCTCTAATGTTAATCCCTCTAGCCTCCTCCATGGTTTTTGGTGCGGGTTCGTTAATTTGGTCTCTGAACTTTCCCGCTTCAATAGCTTGACTCAAAGTCTCATAGTTTCTAGGGGGAGCTTTCGGAATGTAAAGATGCGAAGCTGGATCGGGATCTTCTAGAATAGGACCTCGCAAAAACGGAGCACATTCCACTTTCTCCATGACTTGTTTGATCTCTTAGTGCACACTTGTTGAAAGTACCTAGAAAAATATAAAATTAAAGAAACTATATCACGAGACCTAAGCTTATTAAAACATAGCACTTGCACATTTTTCGTATAATTTGCAAGGAAAAAATTTTTGGAACATGATTGAGATCTAGAATTATCAATGGTTAAAAAAAACTACATGTGATGTAATCAATCTAATGGAACTGTTACCAACGACACTTTATAATGTTCACTAAAACACGTATATTTCATTGTAAATTATACGTTACACTGTTTTAAAAAATTACCTAAAGCTTAAAATAACCGAGTCATCCTAGATGAGCCATCATTGTTGATATGGTAGGCTTACAGTAAAAGAGGAAAAAACACGTTACCTTTTAGTCACAAAATAATCAGAAATATGACTAACTCAGAGTATAGTTTGTTTTTATCAAAAACCTCCATCGATAATATCAAACAGCTGTAAATAAACTAATGTGAATAGTTAAGATAACTGAAATCGAGCTAGGTTTGTTTAAATTTAATTGCTTACTATGCCAGTACATAAGTATCTAAACTTATCATAGTTTTACGTTTGAGTAATCTTCGCATTTAAATTCGAAAGAAATCGTGTAAGTAATTAATTAATAGTAGCTAATTTTTTCAGTTGTAATAAACACTATTATTAATCATCAGGTAATAAGAACCATTCATACAAATTACAATACAATCATAAAAAATCTAGAATTCGTTTTGCCCCAATAAAATAATCATGGTGCTGTACCAAAACATGAGTTAATTAATGTATGCTTGTTAATCTTTATTGTACAATTGTCAAAAATCTTATTTTAAGTCCAGATCATAAGTCACCAAATACAGCTTGATATGATGTGTTTTTAGAGCATTTTTTCAACCAATGTTATACCGGTAACAAATTTTGAAAAGTACGATTGTTAATTATATAATGGGCTGACCTGCTAGGTAAATCTAACATACCAAACACATACCAAAAACATACTTAACATACCTGCAAACCTACATTATAAACATTCCTAACATCACAACCTAACATTACTCATCTAACATAATTTATAAACAGTTTATATAATTTGTTTAGGTTCAAAATGCTTATCTCGTGAAACCTGCCATTTCAAATACAAATTTACTTAAAAAAGAATAATTAAGAAAAATGTACATGTTTGAAAATACAAACATTGCCGTAGTTAAACCATAAACAATCAATAGGTAATTACATTGAACACGTTTGCCATGGCCAAAATGGATGATGCATTTGTAAAGAGATGGGCGTGATTGGCCATTTTGCATTAGTTGGTTTTACATTTTAGTTGAAACTGCAACTGATTAATTCAGTTAAGAACATAAATCGTATAGGTATTTTGTTAATCCAAAATTGCATTTACTTTCAATACTTAGTGGATTATAAATAGTGGATTTAGTGCTTAGTGGATTCTAAATAGGGACGACTATTAATTAATTTTAAATTCTATACGAGTTAATCTGTTAGTATCGTCAATCTGGCTTATAAAATACCATTTAAGCTGCTGATTATCTAAAAATTGATTAGAATTTTGTATGTTTAAAAGACAGCATTTTTATATGAACTAATTCATTAATTACAGTCATGCAACGGCTAATAAATTACCTTTTCATCATATTAGTACATTTTTGTACGAAATTTCCTTAAATAAGCTGGGTTTAAAATGGTGGACTAGTACCATTCCCTTTATTTTTTAAAAGCTAACATTTTACTTGTTAAACATTTTTTACATATTTTCCGATGTCCAATTGTGAATGGTTTAATTATAAAGTTCGGATCAGGTAAATGAAATAAATATGTATCTAAGACACTAATTAGCAATGTGGATTATTGTTTACGATCACTGGTTATGTGCATTCAATTATTACCTCACTATTTTGAAATGCAACTAAATATCTAGGAGAATTATTTGGCATTTTTACTATTATTTCCCAATACAACTAAATACTTATACAATAATGTGAACTCTCAAGTGAAATTACTAGGTTTTTTTAAGTTAATATATATGTTTAAGTTATTACTATTAGGGTTTATTTTTATTGAAGCATATACATCCCTAGGTAGAGGTACCCGGAGTTAGTTATATCCACAAGTAAAGATAATTTTGTATTTTGTATTCAACTTGATCTTAGTTATTGAGTATGTTGGAAAAACATTCCATCTCTGTTAACCAAGCACATTTCTTAGAAAAGCATCCAATACAACATCTGGTGGACCTATCAATAGATGTGGGTGGCAACTACTGTATAGCCTTTTAGACAATAACACGAAAATGGTCCATGGAAATGCCTTACTATTTTATGAAATACGTTTTTTATTTAATAAAACCCAGTAACCACAATAAACTAAACACTTCTAAACTGTTGTTTCGTGGTTTAGGGGAGGTAAAGGTGATCAAAGAAACCACAGAATTTCAAAATAATCAAGTCATGTTAGAACTTCCACTTTGATTTTCCCCTTTATCATTAGGCTATTAATAAACATTCATAACTCTGGTTGCTTTGGTACTGCTATAAACATTATGGCCCTTTGTGGAAGGAACCTTTCTCTTTGACTGAGGAATACATTCTATTTTACTTGATAGACTAATTTCTGTGGAATTTGTTGTCCCAGCAACTCCGGGTAGCGTGGTCGTGACGTAATATCAGCAGGCCAATAATAGTTGTCAAGATTTAAATACGCATTTCCAGAAGAGCAATGGTGTTATCAAACGAATAATTGATACATTGTATATTTAGGTTTTCCTTTAAGGTTTCCCTGTGTTATGTTAAGTAAAAGCTTGTTTACCAATAATAGCTCTGGTAAGATAAAACAACGTCATCAATAATACTTAATCCTTTCAACATATCACTCTTGCTACTAATTATAATAGTCAAATCCTATAAACCCTTTAGGCTATAAGAGACTTTAAACCTCAATTTAACTGCAATTTCAAGTAATAAGACTGAATAACAAACTATTTAAGAAATACCTTTAGCAATTTAGTGGTTTCAGTAAAAATACATTATACTCAGTAGAAATCTAAAACAATGACAACCATTAATTCAAATTAGAGGTTGTCCAGTGGTCGAAACTCGACCGAAAACATGTAATGTACAGACGTTTCTATAATCACCCCACGCTGTAAATAATACATGTTATTGGAATTTCTTCCATTTGTTTTGGTTTTCTGTCCATATATCACTGTTATTTCGTCACCAGGATGGCGACCCATAAGGCCCATGTAGTTTTTTTTATAATTTTTAAATTCATTTTTTGTGCTTACTTTTGAGCATATTTTAATTTATAAAGGGATGATGACGCTCACCTACAGGAAATATCTTTCCAACAGTATATAAGGGTTTAAAGAAACATGCTTATATTAAGATATGGATGGTATGTTTATACTATACTAACATTATTAGTATTTTTGTGTTTATTTTTTATTTCTTGTTGTTGCAAAATGTAGTTTGAAGTCGTTACCCAGTGATTTCCAAACAATTTTAATTACTTATTCAAGGTCACAATACTTTGATAAAAGGAGTTGTCAATACAGGTAATAAGTATTAAATGGGGGAATCTATATTACGAAACCATTTTAAGAGCGAGAGTTGCCCCAAAACAAAGTTAACAAGCTCACTTTCCCAATCACCCATCTTATTTGTAGTTTTGGTAAGTTTCTTGCAATTCGGGTTTTATCCAGTAAGATAAACTTGCCTAACCTGCTTCGTACATGTGAGTTAATTAAATCAAAATAAAGATAAAATACAAAATAAAGAAATATAGTTAAACTTAATAAAAAACAAAAAAAAACTACTGAAAGTACTGTACTTAGCTATATTGCGGTGCCCTTTTAAACAGAAAATGTGAACATTATTTAAAGTTATTTATACGTTCACATAAATGATTTGTTTGCTGATATTTGCATACTGATTGTGAAGCATACTGACTGCATACATGCTTAGAGCTATTTTACACAAAGTACGTCATCAAGGATATCCTACGTCCGAGGAGGAGTATTTATTAGGATATCTAGAGCCTTAAACTCAAATGTTTGTTAGCACTTTATAAAAATGACTACGGGACCATAGTAGCAATAGCTGCTTTTTGTCCATACAAATGGAAATTAAATAACTACACAATCTTTTACACATTTAGTCGCGGTCTTTCCATAACACGATTCCTGCATTGCCATTCTAACCTTAAGACAGATTGATTGGACACTAAAATCAATAAACAAACAAATAAATACACAATGTTTACAACAGCTGGTATATTTAAAACAGCTTATAGAAGCACTGTAGCAGTACTTATGACCAAATCTTTGACGGCCTGTAAAGTAGAGTGGTAATTTTATTTCGTGGGGACCGATTCGCTTACGGAATTATATATATATATATATATATATATATATATATATATATATATATATATATATATATATAAATTGCATAGTGAAAACATAGAAGGGGTCTGTATTTCAAACTAAGAATAGCAGCAGAAACTCTTCCACAAAGCAGACGACCATTGCGCCCAAGACAACGATGGAAATTTCAAATGCAGGACATGCAGAGGCTGAACGTAGCACCTCATGCAAGACTTGGATGGATGGCGAGTGGCTGTTGGTGAGGCCAAAAACCATTTGGGGTTTGAGTCACCACGTAGATAAATAAGGTATGATAAATATAATGCCAAAAATCTATATACTGCTCAATATTTGGTGTATATCAAGCAAACAAAAACTTTACCAAGAGGGTATCAGCTTTATTTACCACTTAAGCATTTCTCAAAACAAACAGTCTATAAAGAACTTTATAACTGGATGGTGCAAAAGTTTCAAACAGATTTGCAGCCAATAAAACAAACCCAACTTCGTCACAAAAGCGGGACTAGATTCGGAAAGTTTTCGCACTGTTTCGCTGAGATTTACTGGTCTTGTTTGTACTGGATTTCCTTTGGGGAATTGTGATTTCCAT